GATCCTTCATCCTTCGGCTGGGAGTTTGGAGATCGGCAACAGAAGCTTCTTCATCCTTGGCTTTAAACCGATTTCGGTTAAATCAACTCTTTCATAGAGTTTCAAACTCGTTCGGAGTTATCAACTTGATCAGAGTTCAAAACTTGCTCTGCAAGTTCTTCTAAAACTCACTCTGAGTTATTAACTCGTTAAGAGTTATTTTTAAATTTGCCACGCAAGTTCTTCACAACGTCAAATCGTGAGAAGAAGACCACGTTCCAGTGAAACAAGACGTGCGGAACGTCAACAGAGAGCAAATTCAACGCGAGCATTCGAAGAAGGCACTCCATCGTCACCGTGAAGAACCCAGAATTAAACAAAGGAGAGAATCCAGATCATTCTCTTCTCTTTTGTAATCAGGAAATCTAATTATAACTGAGATTAAAGGAATACAAATTAATTTTCCTTCATTTCTTTTACTACAAATTTTTCCACAAACAGCGATGGAGGGGAAAACCCCTATGGAGATGTGGTCGGGAGAGACAACATATGACTATGACCAGCTCAAGGTATTTGGTTACCCTGCATATTATCATTTTAGAACTGATAAGTTGGAATCTCGAGCTAGGAAGGCCATATTTGTAGGATTCAAGCGTGATGTCAAGAAATACAAGCTTTGGGATCCAATTGATAAGAAGATTGTGTTGAGTAGGGACGTCACGTTCGATGAAGCTTCTATCTTGAAGCTTCCCATCTCTCATCAGGTGGAGAGCGACCCGATAGAGGAGATATCGTAGGTGGTGGAGATTGATGCAGCTCCACAGTGTCCATATGGTGCAGTATCCATTAGAGTACCGACTGAGATGACGCCAGGTGAGCACGAAGGTGACACGGAGGATACGGGTACTGATGTGCAGGATCAGGGACCGACGGCTTAGGTTCAGGATTCTATTACGGTTCGGAGACAGAGGAGAGACATATGGGTGTCAGCATGGTATGCCGACATAGTTGCGTATGCACTTTCGGTGGAGAGTATCGATGAGATAGTGCCTACTATATTTAGAGAGGCCGAACAGAATTCGGAGGCTGATTTGTGGCAGGTAGCTATGCAGAAAGAGATGAAGTCTCTTCATAAGAACGATACACGGGAGTTTATTGAGCTTCCAAAGGGACGGAAGGTGATTGGTTGCAAGTGGATATACACGAAGAAGGAGGGCATTGAGGGCACTCCATTAAGGTTTAAAGCTAGGTTGGTTGCGAATGGCTATGCACAGGAGGACGGTATTGACTATAATGAGGTTTTCTCTCCGGTGGTGAAGCACTCTTCGATTCGGATTTTGCTAGCTTTGGGGGTACAGTATGGATTAGAGTTAGATTAGTTGGATGTGAAGACGATATTTTTTCATCGTGATCTTGATGAAGAAATATATATGACTCAACCATTGAGATTCCGAGCTGCAGGGAAAGATAAATTAGTTTGCAGGTTAAAGAAATTGCTATATGGTTTGAAGTAGTCTCCTCGACAGTGGTATATGTGATTTGATGATTTTATGCTTGGACATTCGTACACTCGGAGCCAGTTTGATCCTTGCATGTATTTTCATAAGTTGAGAGGAGGTGCGTACATTTATTTGTTATTTTATGTCGATGACATGTTGGTTGCTTCTACTTCCAGGTCGGCTATAGATGAGTTGAAAGTTCAGCTTTTAAATGAGTTTGAGATGAAGGACTTGGGTGAGGCCAAACGCATTTTAGGAATGGAGATCGACATAGACAAGAAGAAGGCCAGAATTTGTTTGACACGGGTAGCTTATTTGAAGAAGGTTCTACAGCGATTTTATGTTAGCATGGATACGAAGCCAGTTAGTGTACCATTAGGAGCCCATTTGAAGCTTTCAGCTGGTCTTTCACCGAATTCAGTTGAAAATCGAGAGTTGATGTCGAAGACTCCATATGCGAGCGCGGTTGGGAGCTTGATGTACGCGATGATATGTATGAGATCAGATTGGTCACAGGCGGTGAGCATGGTTTCGAGATATATGCACGATCCAGGAGTGGGTCATTGGGACGTCGTGAGATGGATTTTGAGGTACGTTCGAGGTACGCTCAATGTTGGTTTGGTTTTCGAGCGGGACACTACAGGTGGCTAGTTGTGCATTGGCTATATTTATTCGGATTATGCCAGAGATTTGGACAAGCAGCGGTCTACGACGGGGTATGTGTTCACTTTGACCCGTACGCCGGTGTGTTGGAGATGCACCTTATAGTCGACGGTGGTTTTGTCTACGATGGAGGCAAAGTATATTGCGATTACGGAGGCTGTGAAGGAGGCAATTTGGTTTTAAGGACTTTTGGAGGAACTTGGTATACCGCAGCAGTCCGTCACTATTTATTGTGATAGCATGAGTGCTATCTATTTAGCAAAGAATCAAGTTTTTCATGCGAGGACGAAGCACATTGACGTTCGTTATCACTTCGTTTGGGATGTTCTTGAAGATGGCGATGTGGAGATTGTGAAAGTCCACACGAAGGATAATCTGGCGGATATGCTCACTAAGGTGGTTTCGAGCAACAAGTTTGATCATTGTCAAAACTTGTTATACATTCGTGATTGTTGAGGCTATTGAAGGCCATTTGGATGAACTACGGGCGGCTTGATCCCTTGGGAGAGGGGGTACGTAGACAACCTATTGATGCAGCCGAGTTTAGAGAGATGACGCATTGGTATTCATATTGGTGTCAGCTCAGTGTTGGGAACACTTCGCCGAGGTGAAGAATTGTGAAAACGGTGAAGGAATTGAGAAAAACGTGAAGAATAAGCAAAATAAACTCCATCATACCCTGGTGTGGTGTCTACCACACCCTGGTGTGTGGTAGAATCTGTCCTGTTTATCATGGGTGTGGTGTATGCCACACCCTGGTATGGCAGAATTAGCCCTGTTTGTCATGAATGTGGTGTGTGCCATACTAGGGTGTGACAGACTCATTTTTAGAATCCTAATCTATTTGGGATTATGTTTTGTTATAAATAGAACCACGTTTTTAGGGTTTCTTAATGAGAGAATTAGCATTGTTTTGACCACTTTGAGAGAGATATTGTGAGGGAACGTAAATTCCTGTGTTTGTGTGTGATTTTGATCGTTATTTTGTGAATTGCACTCGTGTTTGGTTTTTGGTTTTCTTCTCTCATCACTCACCAACTCGTTTGGTTGTCGAGCACGCTTCTGCACGGCGCGAAACATGGACAACACCTGAACTTCATAAATAATAGAAACCCCCACACTTCCAAAGTTATAATAAACCCCCTGGTCTATTGGAATTCTCATAGATGGTGCTAAAGGGTAGAGTAAAAAGTCTTAACTCGAATATCTTACTTTTTACCTACCCTTATCCGGAAAGGGATAATAGAAGTTACCCTTAGCAGATATGAGTGTAAAATTGTCCAAAAGTTGCGACGTGTGGAGCACGCCACAACTCAAGTTTCCGTTGTCAACTTTAGGAGGGTTCCTATGATTTATAAGTATTATAAGGGGGTTTTGTGCAAAACCTCCTAAGCCTCATAAGGGGGTTATGAAATTTATCCATTTTTCCCCCACACCCATCCATCGCACCACGGACAATCCAATTTTTTTGCGAGGTTCGCACCCTCACTTCCCATGTTTTACTGCCCTACTTTATACGGACACGATTGACCAAGTAGCAATGGGGTTTGATTTTGTGAGCATCATTATTGGTATGAACATGATCAATAAAACCGTCCTAAATATCGAGCATGCAAGCTCCTGCACCCCTCTCCTGGTTAGGCATTGCTTCTAATATTGCAAATAGTAGACTAGTAGGTTTGGCACCACTAAATGCATGCATGCGGATTGATGTCACTTGCATAGATCTCCCATGTAGCCGACAATGAAATGCCAGTTTAGATCGCACAGCACAAGTGGTTGCGGTCATGCGTGTCTGAAATAGTTACCATCTTTTCCTACGCAAAGTTCAAAAATTATACCCATTTGCGAATTACTATCAGAGACTTCTGCCTGTGAATTCAAAGAACCTAGTCATAGCCATCAGAGTTCATGATATCCAAATTTGTACGGCTGGGAACTTGCTAAAAAGCTGGACTGACCTTTGTCACCCGAGTAGCTCACTTCAGCATCACCCCCAGAGCCTCAGAGAGGCTGATAACAAAACTGGTAGGAAGGAAAGGTTTTGGAGGGAAAATAGCCTAGGACCAGAAAGACACTAATTTGACAGCAAAATGGGACCATTCATCAGAAGTTATATAACACATTTCTCAGTACTGTGCAATTCAAAACCATTTATTGAAGGGAATGCATGAATATAGACTATTTAAAAGTTAATTTATGTCATCCCAAAATGGAAAATATAGTACATACAACATATTTTGCGGAACACCCTCCCGGCTTAACCCCAAGATGTAGAACTTCTATTGTAAAACAACACGCCAACAATTAGGCCTGTCCTTCTGGGTCGGCCCGACCCAGCCTGGCCCGGAAAACCAGGCCCGGGCCGGGCAAAACAAGAGCCCGGACCCGGGGCCGGGCCTGACCGGGCAGGGCTCCAGGCCGGCCCAGGTTTTGTTTGGTTTTTTTTATTATTTTAATTTTTTAAAATTTTTAAAAATCTCTTTAAAATTTAAAATATCTATAAAAATTACAAAAAATTACAGAAAATAAAAATAAAAACAATCTTATTATTAATAACTTGAAATGACATAAATTACAAAAACAAAAAATTATAAAAATAAAAGATGATAAAAATAACTTCTTTATTAATAATCACTAAATCTTTTACAAGTATAAATTTATTTCGGAATTCGTCGCATCACAATAGATGAGTACATCCCAACTAGGTTGGCACCTACTCACCTATATCACTATCATTCGCAACTATTTTCAAAATAATTCATTACACAATTAAAGCTAAGAAATAAAAATTACAATTTGATGAATATTGTTTAATCTTTAAATTCATCATCTTCAAATCGGGATAAAAACCATCTCTAAACAAATTTTTAAATTCATTATCTTCTACTAATTTAAAAGAAAGATTTTTAAGAATGATAAACTTGATGACGCATTTCCTGCCTCGGGCAACGTCATAATTCCAAGTACCGAGACTATCAGAAGAGGAGGATTGAGAAATCATAGATTGTCGGATATCACCTTGAGGAGTCTGGCCTTTGTTGTATTTTTCTATATGACGTTTGAGGTGGTTGGTGACGCTCTTGTGATGAGCTTGGAAAATCCGGCCGCACATGCACATTTATCCTTCTGGGTGAGAATCCTACCGTGTTCATCCTTGGTGACGTCTATCTTCTCAAAAAAAAATTCACACATCGGATCTCGGCCTTTTAGGAGCTCTTGGTGCAGATTTGTCGCCACCGGATTCGGGATTACCACTGAGAGGATCGGTAGGAGGAGTAGTTGTTGTTGTAGGAGGACTCATTTCAATATCCGTAGGAGATAGATTTTTCTCTTCATAATCAGATCCAGAAACCACTTGATGAAAGGATTAGAAAGTATAAGAGATTATAAGAGAGTATAAGATTGTATAAGAGGGTATTAGAGAGAAGTAGATGAGTTTTGGTGTGAGGATAAGTGAAAACCCCCATCTATTTATAGAGAGAGTCTCCTAGACAAATGACCAAAAAACCCTCACCAAATAGCCGTTTTTTGACCGTTGTAAGGGGCAAAACGATCAAAACGCCAAAATAGCCATTTTGGCCGGGCCGGGCCGCGGTCACAAATGTGATCGTTTGGCGAAAACAGTCACCTATTTATGGGTCTTAATTACTATATAATTATATTTGATCTTATTTGGACCTAGATTATGGAATGATTAGTATGAATTTACATTAGTTTGGTCTTGACCCTATGTCTTATTATAGAATAGGACCCTGTGGATATAAAGGGAATCGAATTTGGGAGAGTCCAATTAGTTTAGAGATAAGTTCATTTCTCACTAGTATTTTTATAATACAAAATTACATAAGTATTATATTTGATTAATGTTGTGCTTGAAAAATAATTATTCTATTATTTTTCATGCATGTAAAATGAAATGTTATTTGATCTTATTCTGTTATGGCCAATTCCATAATATAAATTTTGATTTAGTATGAGATATGAAAGTGATTTTGATTTCATAAAAAATGTGGTAAGTGGTTTTAGTTCTGATGCGATATCCAATAGAAAAATATGAATATTTCTTTGTACGAGAGCTATTAAAGAAAGAAGTATTTTAAATGTGTCCATAGTTTGACGAATCCAAAAATCTTTGTGACTTGGCAATCGAGAGAACTTAAATAAAAGTGAATTATGTAAAGTGCTTTAATTGAGATGATGAGCTTTACACTCGTCCATTGGATTCAAACGTGTTTACGATTCTGAAAAGTAATCTCTTTTTATTTGACAAGCGATTCTCGATGTTTTCAAAACCTCAGAAAGTCTATTATGGAGTGTTCTATTTATGCCTGTCATATAGTAAATGCACCATTGTCTGGCCCTTTTGAGTATTTTTGAATATGTTCTGGCTCTTTTGGGCATTTCTGATATGGCTTGTGGCCTATGTAGTGTTAGGTGCATTCTATTCCCAGGATTTATATGTCCTATGATGCATTTAACGCATTATTATAGTAGCCTTAGTGTGACATATGATGTGATTCTTGCAACCATGTGAACAATTCATCGAGATTTGAGATTCTGACATTTGACTATGAATTTGAGAAAATGTTAATCTTTTGTTTTTGTACAAGTTTTCATAGTTCGTTTTCTTTCTCAATACTTAACTTGATTGCAAAAAGTCTTTTTAGGAATCTATGACATTGTATTCAGTTTACATATAAGAAAGAGTTCTAAATATTTGCATTCTTTCTTGAAAATACTCATAATGTGTTCTTTTATATAATATTTTGTCATCTAAAAATTTCAGGTGCAAAATCTATAATTCATTAGTTCTAAAAATTATTATTTTGTTAAATCTTTAGGAACTCTAATGAGAAACGTTCTCGTTAAGCTTTAGCTTACTCCATTATTTTTAAATTTTGTAGCTTCGCATATAAGCTAAACTTTTTGCTTGTGGCGTGTTGCTAGGAAGTGTTATATGGAAAAACCTCTCTTTTGTGTTATGTGCAACCTAACAATGTGTTTTGGTTTGGCAAAATGCTTGTAATGGCGAGCTTTCAAGCTGTACATACTGATTATGTACATGTGTATGAGGAATATGGGAACACTCGGTACTAAGCACAAACTTAATGCTCGGTAGTAAGGTGACTTATTCCCATCCACTTATTTAAAGGGATGACCACATTCACATGGGTGCACACGGGTTGAATAATTAAGGAGAAGTTATTTTCAAGTGAGGATCATCTGAATGAGCAGATGAGAATGAGCAATCTTTGTGCTTAGCGCGCGCGGGGGCTCTGAACTTCTGTTATCCACATGTTTATATTTTTTGAGAAAAGCTATGTGATATGAAGCGTCAAGCTTTACACGTGCATGAGACTTAGCTTGTACATAGGTCACTGTTGTCGCATACTCATGTCTATCACCATCGCGGTTTCGGGGTGAGACATTCCTTTCCCCGGATGTTACTCCTCATTTGCACTTAAATTGAGCATTAACTAAAGAAGTCCTTAGGAACATGAACTGAGAGGATTTTAATCGTGTGAAGAACTTACAGCTAAGGTAGATCAAGAATAGTGAACTAGAATGGTAATGCATCAACACTTCTGGTGTCAATTCTAAGAATAGTTGGTAACTGAAATGGGCGAGGGGAAAAAATATTTCACAAGCATGGAGTTGTGGATTACATCCATCAGAATAAGCAAAGAGTTCAGCTAATTGCTTACTTTAAAAGTGTACTGAATTTAACCCATATTCTACATGAAAAGATGGAAAAAGCATAACCTCTTTATGAAAATATAACGTAATAGTGACAGACAGAATTACTAAAGACTCATAAAAATTTCACTATAAATGGAAGTAGATTTTTTACATCAGTCCTGCACTCTGAGCTCTCATATATACACTTAATATGAAACCTTATGATCTATTATATCTATGTGGACAAGGAATTAAATCATAAAAAATTGATTCCAACTGATTTACACATCAAATATGACCGATATTGATCAATATGCACTTCTTGTCAGGTAGCTGAAGGAACATTAGATTATTGGAGAAGAAACACACCTGAATTTTGATAGTAGTATCACGGCACACGTCCTAATACCCTCTGTACTGCCTTTTTTATGCCATCTAGATCAAGTGTAGTTGTCAAATATACTTCCTGGACCTGTTCAACATGAGACAATAGGATTTGAATACTCCCTGAAACTTCTGAAGGGCTAAATTTTGCTGTAATTGCGGAGACCTAGCAACAGTTTGGTCAGGTGATGATTACAGAGCAAACAAAGTTCTGAATTATTTCATGAGTAATGAATTACTGATTGCTGCAATGATTTCCTTAAATGAACTTATCACATTGGACTTATTCATAAAGAAAAAACTCAAAATTTTATAAATTTGTTAGTGTCAAAACTTCTTCCGGTGCAATCACTTGATACATACGTACAGCACCAATTTGGCATAGATTTTCCTATAACGTTTTAGAAGAGTAAACATATGATCTACCAGGAAATATATAACGGAATTATAGAAATAACTAATTCTATCATTGTTGTAAAAAGCCTAAAATAGCCTACCCTTATTCTGAAAAAACTAGTGGCTCCTCACTCCAGCCAGAAATTGTAGGAAAAAACTTGTAACTTAGGCCACAGACTAGAAGTGTTACTTTGGCCTACTTCAGAGGCCTGGAACTCTGGTTCAATTTGTTTTCTTGTGTGCTAGATAAAAGATCCAAACTTACTCCTTCATGCACTTTTTAAAATAAACTATGAGTTCATAAAGGAATATCCTTCAAATTTACCACCTCTTTATAGTATCAGCAGTAACTGACTATTATGTAAATAAACAAAAGATTTTGAAGCAGAAAAAGTTCCAATAATTCTTAAAAAGGTTATTTTTCAATTATTTAATAAGTTCATGTAAAACTCTCTTCAAAAGGTTATTTCTCAATACTTAATAATTTTCATGTAAAAACTCTCTCTCTCTCTCTCTCTCATTGAGATTTATTTTAAATGTGTATTCATATTATTTTCTTCATTCTTGTATTGATATTCATAATTATTCGCTCTTTAAGATGTAATATGACAAAACTTTTATTTTCGTAAGAGGCGTCACTGCATATATTGTCATAACAGAGGCACAGAAAAAAAGATTTATTATTATAACTTTTCAACTTTTATTTTGAAAACATAAACACATATGTAAGTAAGTAAGTATGTATGTATGGTTAGTTGGGGGTGGAGGTGTTTTTCCCGCCTATATGTAGAGTGTCTAATAATTACGAGTAAAACTATTCACAACTTATCAATGGATAACAAGTCATTTGGCACAAGTAACTAATTTTTATAGGCTTGAAAGTTTTGCTTTTTATTCAGAAATCTAGTTTGGGCTGTTGGAGTTATGTTCTTAATTTCCTAGCATGGATATCAGCAAGAACTTATTGAAATTGTACCATACTACCATGAGCTAATAAACTTGCCTTTGACTAAGCTGATCCAATTGGAGATAATGAGTCGGAGGCTGCTTCCATTGTGCAAGCATGATTAGTAGGATCAGCACATATTTCTATAGGTTATATATTCAAACATGCAGCTTTCCTCATTGCCTCTACATCATTAAAATTTGGTCAATATAGTTATTTTTACTATATTGATCGGCAACATTTATTTTCAATTGGTCATCCTACTCATTGTAGACATCCTAAATCATGTGTCCCAGCAAGTCATTATCTAGGGACCCGTCTCATGATCCGTTCCTTAGAATTGTATGATGTTATATCTCAGTAGTGGAAGAGGAAATACTGTCACTTATAAATAGTATAGTACATAATAGTATGAGACTTTTAAATATGTTATAGTACCAGATTTTCCTTG